TACCTGAGATTCCCCAGAGCATGGAGTTCACACTGTGGGCCCAGAGAGCAGGGCTCCAGCTCAGAAATCTCTGGGGAGCCCGGCTTCCTGGGGGAACATCAGTGCCCAGCCTTAGCCTGGCTCCCCCTGCCCTGCGCAGGCCCCGGTGCCCAATCCCAGCCTGGCTGCCCTCCCCTGGGCAAGTCCCAGTGCCCGGCCCAGCCTGGGCTGGGGGAACTGAACCAGTCTGCCCTCATTCCTGAGCTGCGGAGGAAGTTCCCGGAGTTTCACACTCTATGAGCCAAGAGCAACGGAAGGGCAGTGCCAGTGGGTGCTGGGCTCTGCCAGGTGCAGGAGGCTGTGATGGGGGCACTGAAAGCCCATGAGTGGAGACAGCCAAACACCCCCCTCTCAGACTGCCAGGCTTGGCCTGGCACTGCCCCCAGTCCAGCTTCCCACAAGGGTCTGTGACTGGGGAGTGCCCAGGGGACAAGCAGGGCTGACTTCTCAGCCCTAGGACATTAAGGTAATGGGTGTCGGGCAGGCCTGTCCAACCCTCAGGCTGGGCTGAGTGTGAACGTGAGGCTGCGAGCCCCAGAGTGTGTGTGTGTGTGTTTCACCCCCAGAGAGTGTGTGAGCCCCTGTGTGTGTGTCAGCCCCAGTATGTTACCTCTCAGGGGCCACCCAGGACACACTGTCCCCATGTGCCCAAGGTCATCTCCCTGGCTGCTCCCACCCCCCTCACCCTCCAGCTGCTCCCCCCTCCCTTTACCCCCCCCAGCTACTCCCCCCACCCGTCCCTACTGCTCCTGGCCTCCACTCCTTGAAGTTCAAAGTTCAAATTCCACCCAGGCTGTGAAATAAATCAATCTGAATCTGTCTGTGCGGACGCCGCTGGGGAGGGAGCAGAGTCCCGGCCTGCGGGGAGCCTGGGAGCCAGCCCCCCACCTGCTCCCAGCCACACACCCCCAACCCACACCATCGGTGAGCGGGCACACGGGATGGGTGGGAAGGAAGGGGAGGGCGGGCAGCTAGGCTGAGGGGCTGGGGGGGGCACAGGGTCTCCGCCTGTGTTTCCATGCATCAAGAAGGGACAGAGACAGGGAGCTGGAGTTAATGCCCCTCTTGATTCAGGGCCAGCCAGGCGAGGTCCCCGGGTCTTCACACCAATGGGGGCCCCCTGCCTGGGCTCAGTTCTGCTCAGGAGAGTGAGAGGGACTGGGGCCAACGTGAGTGAACAGCTGGGGAGACTGATAAGGCAGGTCTCTGGCAGGGAGAGGGGGCTTTGAACAAGTGATTACAGGGGAATCATGAGAGCTCCGCAGCTGCCCCTGCCCCCCTGTGACCGGGGGAGCCACCCAGCCCCAGCCTCAGCCCTTCAGCCTCCTCCCTGCCCCCTTCGTCCCCCTCTGGGTGCCGATCTCTGCCTGGTGCCCCCAGCCCTGCACAGCTGCCCATTTCTAATGAACTTTGCCTTCTCCAGGCTGGCTAATCTCCCCCCACGCTGGGTTAAGGCCCCGGACTGACCCTGTCGGGGAGGGGACCATGGGGACAGCTCCTCACAGCCAGGCAGGTCACCTTGGCTCCCAGAGCAGCCTGCTTCACCTTGACGAGGGGGCAGGCAGGGGGACCAAGCGCAACAGGCACTGGGGTGACACCCTCACGCAGGGCCCCCAGAGGTTGGGCTCCTCCTGACTCCAGCAGGGCAGGGCAGGTCCAGCCCGAGACACATCATTGCACACACACTGCAGTGATGCTTGGCTTGGGCTAGGAGGGAACTTGAACCCAAGTCAGCCAGATCCCAGGCAGGTGCTCTACCCACTGGGCTAGTATGAACAAAACAGCTGCTGCTGCTGCCTGTGGAGCGAGGCACCTGCCTCTCTCAGTCTCACCAGACAGGCCCGAGGCGCCAGAAGCCATATGAGGGGCTCCCGGGTGACTCGCTAGCAGAGCTGGGCACCTCCTTGCAGCCAGCGCTTAGGGGCCTCGCTTGGTGAGGGGGTGGGGCTTAGCTCACACCCCTCCGGTCGGCATCTCCCATTGGCTGGCTTAGGTGGTTCCCCGCCCCCTTGGAGTGTGGGTCGTAGCAGTGTCAGGCGCCTCTCCCCCCATTCAGTGTATGGGAGTCCAGGCCCCTAGTTCGGGCTGTGTGGGTCGCAGTGTCAGGCGCCCCTCCCCCCATTCAGTGTATGGGAGCCCAGGCCCCTAGTTCGGGCTGTGTGGGTCGCAGTGTCAGGCGCCCCTCCCCACATTCAGTGTATGGGAGCCCAGGCCCCTAGTTCGGGCTGTGTGGGTCGCAGTGTCAGGCGCCCCTCCCCCCATTCAGTGTATGGGAGCCCAGGCCCCTGGCTGTGTGGGTCGCAGGGTGTTCCTGTGATTTGCTCGGTGCTTAAAAGTTAGTGCTGCCCCAGGCTCAGCATCACAGCATCTCAGCCCCTCTTGGGGCTTCCTGCCCATCTGTAAAGTGAGGAGCAAACATCCCTACTCCCCAGGGGCTGAGAGGAGACAACCCATGAACCATTGTGATGGGGCTTGGATATAGCAGGGAGCAAGACCAGCTATGTACTGAGAGAGCTAGGTCACTAGGTAGATAGAGGGATAGATGGGGGTGTATGGGGATAGATAGAGGGATCTATGAGGATAGAAGGGTGTGGGGGGGATAGATGGGTATGTATGGGGACAGAAGGGGGTGTATCGGGATAGATGGGGCTGTATGGGGATACATAGAGGGGTGTACGGGGATAATAGAAGGGTGTACGGGGATAGATCAGGGGTGGGCAAACTTTTTGGCCCGAGGGCCACATCAGGGTTGCAAAACTGTATGCAGGGCCGGGTAGGGAAGGCTGTGCCTCCCAAACAGCCTGGCCCCCGCCACCTATCCGACCCCTCCCACTTCCCGCCCCCTGACTGCCCCCCTCAGAACCCCCCAACCCCCCCTGCTCCTTGTCCCCTGACCGCCCCCTCCTGGGACCCCTCGCCCCTCATCCAACCCCCCCAGGACCCTACCCCCATCTAACCCCCCCTGCTCCCTGACTGCCCCGACCGCTATCCACACCCCCGCCCCCTGACAGGCCCCCCAGGACTCCCACGCTTATCCAACCCCCCCGTTCCCATTCCCCAATCACCCCCCACCCAAACCTCCGCCCCATCCAACCACCTCCTGCTCCCTGTCCCCTGACTGCCCCCCGGGACCCCCTGCCCCTTAATTCAACCCCCCGGCCCCCACCCCTTTACCATGCCGCTCAAAGCAGCATGTCTGGCAGCCACGCCGCCTGGCCAGAGCCAGGCATGCTGCCCTGCAGGAGCGCGCAGCCCCGCTGCCCAGAGTGCTGCCCGCGCGGCAGCGTGGCTGTGGGCGAGGGGGGACAGCGGGGGAGGGGCCGGGGGCTAGCCTCCCCGGCCGGGAGCTCAAGGGCTGGACAGGATGGTCCAGTAGGCCGGATGTGGCCCACAGGCCATAGTTTGCCCACCTCTGGGATAGCTGGTGGGGGGGTGTGTATATGGGGATAGAAGGGGGATGTATGGGGGAGATGAGGATAGATGGGGGTGTATGGGAGAGATAGAGGGGTGTATGGAGATAGATGGGGCTATGGGGATAGATGGGGGTGTATGGGGGTAGTTGGGGGTGTGTGGGGATAGAGAGATGGGTGTATGGGAATAGATGGGGGTGTCTGGGGATAGCCAGAAGACTGTATGGGGATAGCGAGATGGGTGTATGGGGATAGCCAGAGGGGTGTATGGGGATAGAAGGGGGTGTGTGGGGATAGCTAGAGGGGTGTATGGGGATAGAAGAGGGTATATGGTGATATATGGGGGTGTCTGGGGATAGATGGTGGGTATGAGGCTAGCCAGAGGGGTGTATGGGGATAGAAAAGGGTGTATGGGGATCGATGGGGGGTATGGGGATAGAGAGATGGGTGTATGGGGGATAGATGGGGGGTATGGGCATAGCCAGAGGCATGTATGTGGGTAGATGGGGGTGTCTGGGGACAGCCAGAGGGGTGTATGGGCATAGCCAGAGGGGTGTATGGGGGTAGATGGGGGTGTATGGGGATAGCCAGAGGGGTGTATGGGGATAGCCAGAGGGGTGTATGGGGGTAGTTGGGGGATAAAAGATGGATTCCCTGCAGAGCATGCTCAGCTGTGGGAGGGGGAGCTGGCCACTAGCCAGGCTCCTGCGTTGGCAGCAACACACAGTGCACAGTGCACTGGGGCTGCACTGCAGAGGTGGGGGCCGGTGGAGCTGCCGGAGGGTAACTGGGGGCAGAGAAATGCTGTAGCTGAGAGTGCTGCGCCCTGCTGGCAGGTCCTGCCTGTTCCGTAGCTCCCGTGGCGGGAGATGGCCCTCGAGAGGCCGGGTTCACTTGGTAGAAGATCCCCTATGGGTAGGTGACAGGCGGTGGGGCCATCTGACCACTGCCATCTGCTGCCTCCGCTGGCGTTGGCACAGTTCTGGTGACTCCCGGCCCAGTGGCGCAGAGAAAAGCTCCCCTTAGCGTGCTGTGGGGTGTGGGGGATGGGCTCCCTGGCCCAGCGGGTGGGGGATGGGCTGCCTGGCCCAGCTCCCAGGGACCCTGGCGAAGGCTGGACACAGTCCTAGCAGAACTTGATACGGGGTCTCCCCAAACCCACTCGTCCAGGATTTGAAAGAAACTACATCTGTGTGTGTGTGTCTGCATGAATCAGGGGTTATCCTACCACCCATTATCGCAGTACAACTGACAGCAACAGCTAATTTGTCGTGTGACTGCACAATGCCTGCAGGAGCATAAACAACGGGCTCCAGTGGGATCTGCGGGGGGCTGTCCCTGGGGAAGGGATGGTGGAGGAGGAATGGGGCCCCACGGATGGGGAGCCGTCTCCTGGGGGAGGGCCAGGAGACCAGGCTGGACTGGCCCCTATGGAAGGACCACATGGCATGGTCTGACCTGGGCGGTCCCTGTGCTGGAGCCTAGGCCTGTCGCTGACTCTTCTCTCCCCACAGCAGCTTGCCTGTGGGTGCCTGGGGGCCAGGAGCTGCCATGCTCAGCCCCTCTGATAGGGAGAGCAGCAGCAGCAGCAGCAGCCCCAGCGTGCTGAGCCTTGGGGCAGGAAGCAGGGAAGACGGGGAGCCAGAGGGAGAGGAGAAAATCTGCACCGTGTGCGGCGACCGAGCCACCGGCTACCACTTCCATGTCATGACCTGCGAGGGCTGCAAGGGCTTCTTCAGGTGAGAGCCCCCCCTGGCGCCATCGTCCTGCCAACCTCCAACCCCCTATCCTGGGCCTTTCCACCCCACGGGGCCGGCAAGGGTAAACGCTGCCTCCTATTGGTGCTGCGCAGGCAGGGCACTGCCCTGGGTCACACCCAACACCCCTCAGAACAGGGAGGGTTAGGGTGCAGTGGTGTGTATACATGTGTGCATAGGGTATGTGTAGTGCGTAACGGTGTTCTTATGTGCTTGTGTGTGGGGAGGTATGCAATGAGATCAGATGTGTGTATGTGGAGGGGTTTGACCGATAGTGCAACCGCATGCAGCATCTCAGGGGCCCGTGCTGTATCCAGTTTATGAATGGTTGCTGTAGCTTTGTGCCCAGGGATTGGAGCAGCTCCATGGGGGAAGGTTACCCAGAAACTAAAAACAGCGGTGGGGGGAGGTGATTCCTACAGCCCCGGCGACTGTAAACAGCTCTGGAGAGGTACCACCCTGGAGTGGTTTGCAGAGACTGGTTTAGGCCAGGGCAGTCACAGAGGACAAAGGAAGAGGGTGCGTTGTAAAGGCTGATTCGGGTCTGAACCTTGCTGAAAGGTTGGAAAGGCGGCCGGGCCAAGCCTGGCTGGTTAGTGCATGTGCAAAGCTCTTTCTCACCGTTACCCTTCCTCTGGGAGGCTTTTGTCCTTCAGATACATGAGCTCTGCTGGGGAAGGGCTGGGGGGTCACTGGTAACATTGTCTTTGGAGAGAAAGCATGATACAGGTGCTGGCCTTGCTGGGGATGTCACAGTGTAAGGCAGGGGGCTGTGCAGCTCAGGAAGGAGTGAGACGGGTCTCGGCCCACGTGAGGTGATGGCCGGGAGCTGGAAGCCTCAAGAAGGTGCCCTCGAGGGGCCACAGAGGGAGAATACAGGTGCAGTTACCCTCAACTGTGACGGTGTGTAGTGTACAAGGTGTATGTGTAAACTGGTGTGTCTATAAGGGATGTGTGAGTAGGTTGTGGATGTGTATTGGGGGGGGTGTTGATGTGCATATTCGGGGTGTGCATTGGGATGTCTATGTGGGTGTGTATAGGGTGTGTCTGTGCGGGGGGGTATATGAAGGGAGTGTGCATTGGGATGTGGGGGTGTCCGCATATTGGGGTGTGCAGGAGTGTGTTATGCACTGGCGTGTGTATATCGGGAGTGCACATTGGGATGTATATGTGGGTGTGTACACAGGTATGCATATGCATTGGGGTGGGCATCTGTGCATAGCATGTCTGTGCGTTGGGATGTGTGTGGGGGGAGGGTGCGGTGTGTGTGTTTGTGTGCACACAGGCAATGCCCTGGCTCAGTGGCTGTTGTGTCCGGCCCTCATGGCAGCTGCCCTGTGGCTGTACCGTCCTGTGTCTCAGAGCCGCCATGTGCTCGTCTCCAGGAGCGTTTGCTGCTGCTGACCCCAGGTTTATCTCAGCTGATGCCCAGGCGAGTACAGCCATGGCAGTGACGCAGGGTGTGGCTGGGACGCTCTGCCGGGCGCGACTCCCATCCCAGAGTTTTGGACATGACCGTCCAGGCTTGCCCCTCCCTGCAGGGCTCAGCTCAGCTTGGATCCCAGGCCCTTGTCTACTTGCCCAGCCCCCCAGATTCACCCAGGCCAGCTCTGGCTCCAGCCAGGCTGCGTTTCCGCAGCACTCAGCAGGGTCTCTGCTCTAGGCCACTGTGCAGATTCCGGTCATGTAATGGGATGTGCTGACTGAACTGGGCCTCACCTGCTGCCTCCTGCGGCTGCCAGCCTGAGACATGTGCCAGGCCTGATGGGCAGCAGCATCCCTGCATGGCTAACCAGGGTAACTACCCGCTGCACAGTACTGCTGGGAGCTGACACCCATACAGCACTCCCTCCTGTGCCTCCACCCTGCTCCCTGCAGCACAGTGCCCCCTAGTGCCAGCCTGGGGCACTGGGGTCATCACTGGCTGTGCAGGGCAAGCTCCCCTTCTGCTCTCTGCAGCACCGTGCCCCCAGTGCCATGCTGAGCCACTTGCACCACTTCCTGCTGCATGCTGCACGTTCCTTTGGGGTCTCCCATCCCCCTGCCCCAGAGTGACTCTGTTTCATTGTGAGGCTTATTGTCAGAGAAAGGTGTTGGGATTTCAGGGCTTTGGGGCAGCTTTAATGCTTGTGGCTTCTCCTCCATGCAGGGAAGAAACAGTTCTAGACACCCTGGTTCAGCCCGTTGGGCTTGTCCCGGGCATTGCAACTGACCGGGACAACCAATGCCTGAGATGACTACTGGGGGCAGGGCCCAAAGCCTCTTCACCATGGCTTCTTGCAGCACCATTTACCACTGTGTGTGTGTGTGTGTGTGTGCATAGCCATCTGTCTGTTTGTGTATGCTGGAATAACCATCTGTGTGTGTGACAGCAAGCATAGGAGGTGTGGGCCTACCCATCTGCATAGGGGGCAGATCTCGGGGGGGCAGAGAGCTGGCACAGCCCAACGTGTTGGCATGTTATATGTCTGTGTTGCTCAGTGCCTGGGCCAGCACTCCCCACCCAGGCACACAGACATGGCGGCCCTGCGCCAGGGGAAGCGTAGCTGGGACGGTTTGGTGGAGAGGAAGCCAGGAACCGGCTCCCCCAGCTCTATCCCACAATGCAGTGCCTTGCAGCTGGAAATGACCCAGAAGCCCCTGCTTCTAGCAAGGGTGCTGGGCATTGGGTCGGGCGTCCCCGTTCCTGGATGGGAGGGGAGCAGGAGCAGCGGGCTGGGCTGTGCCTGGGAGGGATGCAGTGCTGCATGGAGCAGGCTGGGGATGAAGCCGGCAGAAGGCTGGGAGGGGATGGCGGGTCGCTGAGGAGTGCCGGGGCCGCCTGCCGCCTGCGGTGCCAGGTCCAACGGGTTGCTCGCTTGGGGCTCTCACTGTGGGGGGGGCTCTCTGACCCTTTCCCAAGGCAGGGGGAGTGTCTCCTGCTCCCCAAGCCCTGTCCCTCTTTTGCAGGCGGTCGATCAGCAAGGACGTGTGCTTCACCTGCCCCTTCACCCGCAACTGCACCATCACCAAAGCCAAGCGCCGGCAGTGCCAAGCCTGCCGCCTCCAGAAGTGCCTGGCCGTGGGCATGAGGAAGGACAGTAAGTCAGGGCTCGGCTCCCCGCCCTCCTGCAGCTGGTGTCTGGCCCAGGGGAGGTTGGCAGGGGAAGTGCAAGGTCTGCTCTCCCCAGGAGAGTATCTGTGCTGCAGCCTTGTCAGCCTGGGGGTGCTCCCCACTGGGCTCAGGCACCTTCCGTTGATGAACTCCCCGGCAGGGGGGATACCAGGCTAGAGGGGTGCAGGGCTGGTGCTGTGCGGGGATCCCAGCTAGCAGGGCGCTGGGCTGGGCTGGAGCCATGTGGGGGTTTGGCTGGCAGGGCGCTGGGCTGGGCTGGTGCCATGCAGGGGGTCCCAGTGAGCAGGGTGCTGTGCTGGGCTGTGTGTGTGGGGGGGGTCCTGGCTAGCAGGGCACTGGGCTGGGCTGGACTGTAGGGGGGTTCCCATCTAGCAGGGGGCTGGGCTGGGCTGGTGCCGTGCGGGGGTCCCGGCTGGCAGGGCGCTGGCCTGGCCTGGTGCCGTGCAGGGGGTCCCAGCTGGCAGGGCGCTGGACTGGGCTGGTGCCGTGCAGGGGGTCCCAGCTGGCAGGGCACTGGCCTGGCCTGGTGCCGTGCGAGGTGTTACAGGTCACTGTTGCCTAGTACTCGCCCCTTGTTGCCCCCCAGCAGCACCCCTGCTGGTGACAGCAGAGCCACCCAGCCACTCTCTGCTGCATCTGCTCTGTCCCCATCCCCACCCAGCACCTGGCAGGGAGGGAGAAGAGGATCAAGCCATCAGCAATGTGAGGGCACGCAGGGGCCTTGGAGAGGTTTAGGTTGGATATTAGGAAAAACTTTTTCACTAGGAGGGTGGTGAAGCACTGGAATGGGTTACCTAGGGAGGTGGTGGAATCTCCTTCCTTGTAGGTTTTTAAGGTCAGGCTTGACAAAGCCCTGGCTGGGATGATTTAGTTGGGGATTGGTCCTGCTTTGAGCAGGGGGTTGGACTAGATGACCTCCTGAGGTCCCTTCCAACCCTGATATTCTATGATTCTATGAGTGTCACCCAGAGGAGTAACCCCTGTGTCGCTGGGTGCTAGGCAGATAACCCGCTGGGGGGACTGGGCAGATAGCTTGTTGGGGGGCTGCGTGGATAGCTCGCAGGGGGGGGCGGGGGGCTGGGGGGGGCTCGCGGGGGGGGGCTGGCGGCTGTGTGGATAGCTCGCTGCGGGGACTGGGCGGATAGCTCGCAGGGAGGGCTGGGGGCTGCATGGATAGCTCGCTGGGGGG